AATTACATAAAAATGAAAACTTTTAAATAGTTGATTTTGATATTAACATTGATATTTTTTTTTTCAAATTTATATTTTATTCAAAAATAAAAATCATTATTGTTTTCTTAAAAACACATAATATATACTATATTATAAAGCATTGACAAAAACTATTATAAACCATTTTTTATGCATAAAATATTGTTTATTAATTCATATTACTTAAAACTCAAGATTGCAAGTAGATTGTACATAAGTACAATTTATTAGAGCTCCATATCTGAATTCATGTAACTAACTGCAGATAAACATAATCAAATACAGGATAAACATTTCACTTTAAATATAAAAAATCTAAAATATAATTAAGACACTTATTGAGTTCTAACAGAATACTTAATTATTATCCTTATAAAATGTTGTATTATTAAACCAAAAATAAATTATTTCCTTATAAAACTTAAATTAAATTATAATAAAAAATTAAAGAAATTACATAAAAAAATGAGAACTTTTAAATAGTTGATTTTGATATTAACATTGATATAATTTTTTTCAAAGTTTTATGATATTTTCAAATTTATATTTTATTCAAAAATAAAATCATTATTGTTTTCTTAAAAACACATAAAATCGTATTATAATATCGATAGAGACAAATAATAAAATAGAACATTAAAATCGAGATATATCTCGCTGCATTGCGCGAGTATTCTTCTAGTCTTTATAAAATAACTAGAAGGGTATTTGTGCAATGCAGCGAGATATATCTTGATCTTAATATTTCATTTTATTTTATTTTATCTCAATCGATGTTATATTATGGTCTTATGTGATTTTGAAAAAGCGGTGATGTTTTTATTTTTGAATAAAATCTAAATTTGAAAATATCATAAAAAATTGACAAAATTATGTCGATATTTGTATCAAACTAACTATATAAAATTCCTCATTTTTTGTGTAATTTTTTTAATTCAAAATTTTTATTATAATTTAATTAAGTTCAATAACAAAATAATTTATATTTGGTTTAGTAATATAATTTTCTTATAAAGATAATAGTTAATTATTTTGTTAGACTCGATAATTATCCTAATTATATTTTAGATTTTTTATATTTTAAAATGAGATGTTTATCCTCTATTTGATTATGTTTATCAGCAGTTAGTTACACGAATTCAAACATGAAGCTTTAATAAGTTGTACTTATGCATAATTTACTTGTAATTTTGAATTTTAAGTAATATGCATCAATATACAGTACTTCATGCATAAAAAGTTGTTTTTAAGAGTTTGTGTCAAATGCTTTATAATATAGTATAGATGATATTATTAAACCAAAAATAAATAACTCCATTATTATATATAAATTAAATTATAATAAAAAATTGAATTAAATAAATTACATAAAAAAAACAAAGACTTTTAAATATTTAATTTGATACTAAAAACAATACCCTTTTTTTTCAAAATTTTGTGATACCTTCAAATTTATATTTTATTCTAAAAATAAAAACATTATCAATCTTTCAATACCATATAAATCGTATTATAACATCGAAAAGAGACAGAATAAAACGAAAAATTAAAATCGAGATGTATCTCGCTTCATTGCGCGAGTACCCTTCTAGTATTTTAAAATGTGTTTAAACACTAGTTTTGTAATAATTAATTAATAAAAGGGATAAATTAATTAATTTTATTATTATTTTTTATATTTTGTTTTTATAAATTATTTATAATAAATAAAATTCAATTTCATTCCGATCCTATAAATCAAATACACTAAAGGTTTTAAATCCCCCAATCCCATGAAATCCAAATACCTCGAAAACATTTCATCAAATCAAATGGACCCTTAAAGTTTCATTCAGGTCCGGTCCAATTAGGGGTGTTCGCGGTCCGGTTTGGGCGGTTTAAACCCTCAGACCACAAACCAAACCGTAATGGCGGTTTGTGAAATTTTCAGACCGAGCGGTTTAAAACCAAGTGCCCAGACCGGTCAAACCAGACCACGAAAAGGCGGTCTGGTCTGACCGGTTTAGGCGGTTTGGGCCTTTAATGGGCTTTAAACATTAAAACCAAAAAACCTAGTGTCATATGTACTATTATAAATTTGAATAATAAATGTTAATCACCCATCAAAATCATCTCCCATGGAGATTTGTTTTCTACAATAAAAGTACTAAAAAATAAGTGTCCTTCACATGTGAGTAATCTGTATACCAACCACTAAGCATTGAAGCAGTCATTAAAATTTAAACCCAATTTAAACAATCTAAAGTCCAAAGTCCAAACAAATAAATATGTAAAACATACCAAAAAAC